AATGTGTGTAGGGAAGCAGTGTGTCCCACTGCCACCTGCCCAGCACATCCGCCCATCTGTCAGCCTTCCTCTCAGTTCCCAGCCTGCCTTCGCCTACCCAGCCCCTTCCTTGTCTCCCAAATATCCCTGGGCCCGGATGGGATCTGTCTGCTAGAGCCCTGGAATGTGTAGGGAAGCAGTGTGTCCCACTGCCACCTGCCCAGCACATCCGCCCATCTGTCAGCCTTCCTCTCAGTTCCCAGCCTGCCTTCGCCTACCCAGCCCCTTCCTTGTCTCCCAAATATCCCTGGGCCCTGGGATGGGATCACAAGAGGAGAGTACTCTGCACACGTGTCCATCAAATCCAGTATCTCTGGCCTCTGCGGCCACCCTGAAGGTGGAGCGAATGTCATAGCTGATGGCAGCCAGTACTTAATGCAGTGTCTTTTTCTAGTCCTTTCTTCTTTCCTCTTCCTCCTCTCTATATTTCCTCCGTCTATGCTTGCAGGATCCCCAGGCGAGGCTGTCATCCTTGATTCTGCTAAAGCATAGCTAGTTGTCAGGCTTCGGCTGTTTCTTCCAATGGCCGCCCACTGGTGCCAGAGCCACAGCCCCTAGTGCCCAGGACCCAGGTGTCCAGCGAGGCCGCAAAGGCGAGCGGGGTGGGTGAGGCAAGCGTCTGTGTAATCAGCATTGGGGGTGGCTGTGTTCTGAGAGGCTGTGGAGTGGTGAGAGTCACCAGGAGTTTCCCTCCTGACCTCGTGACGCTGGGGTGGTGAGGTACAGAGCTGGGTTCTTCTTAGTCAGCCGTCACCCCCACTCCCCTTTATCGGGAAGCTGTGTGTATTTTACCCTGTGAGATGAACGCATCTGGAGAGCCTGCTGTGCATCTGTACCAGACCTCCTCAGACCGCACGGTCCTTGTGGGTTGAAGAAAGATGAGGGTCTTTTCTGGCAGACAGCAACTTGCCAGTAGATTTTGGACTTTGCTTCTCAAAATTGCTTAGTGAAGATGGTTGAGGTGTGGAGCCTCTGTAATCCCCAGTACTCTGGGTGGCTGAGGCAATAGGGTGACAAATTACGACTGGGCAATTTTTGAACATAGTGATATTGAGTGTTAACATTGATTGATTGATTGATAATTGGTACTAAGGATTGAACTCAGGACTTGAATCCCTGAGCTAAATCCACTTCTTAAAATAAAAATAAAAAAAAGGAAATGACTTGTCATGCAGCTCAGGGAGATGGCCCATTCTGAGATCCCCCATAGTGAGACAAAATTTACTGACTTTGAAAATGGCTATGTCAGGAGG